TATATATATATATATATATAACTATAGATAAAGAGAGAGAGAGAGAGAGAGAGATTTAAATGTATACTAAAGGTAGAAGAAACAATATCAGCCCAAATCTTATGGCACCTTCGCCACAACATAATTTGCTTATATGAATACAAGCCAATGTAGATAACAAAGGCTATAAGCATAAGTAAAACAGGGTGGCACAGATAGGCTTCATATACGTCCCAAGAAAGAACAGCAATGTGAACTAGGTGAGCAAAACAAAAAAAGAATTATAGTACAGAATGGTGCATCAATAAGTCAAGTATCATATGCGCTGCTTCAATCAATCGCACAAAATAGAATGGGAAACTCATTGAGAGGAAAAGTAGGAACAACTTTTTACAATCATAAAAAGTAGTTTTGCATGAGGAATTCCATGAATAAAATGTTGCTAGAAAAGAAAATGATGCAAAGAAAAATGAATACAATAGTTCTCAGCTAATTAGATGGAATGGCAAAGCGTTTTAGGTAACAGACTCGAAGAAGTATTTAACAGACTTCTTTTTTTTTGAGGAAAGTATTTAACAGACTTCTTGCCCCATATTTTTGTTGTTCCTCCAACTTCCTTACAAAGTCAAACAAATCTCTGCATTTCTATCAAGTTGGATTTTTGGGCATGATTTTACGTTATCATCACATGAATTGAAGTTTTTCTCCAGCAAACATTATTTTTCAAGCCCATTATCTATAATCTTTTGATCACAAGCATGATAGTGCTAACAATCCTCATCAAGTTTTTCCGGTTAATTGCCACATACATTCACATGAATTTTGCTCCTAACTAATCCACCCTTCCAGCCAGCATATCATTCAAAGTTTACAACTGACCATTCTAGCCAGCATTTGTGGCAAAAGATGAGGATCGTAACAATTAGAAATCATTAATTACAGTCAATATTTTCGTCAGTACATCCATTCACAATGTTTCTTCCCAGATATAGTGTCACAAGTTATCGAGGATGAGTGATTTAAATAAAACACATTTCCAGGAATAAATGACAACATAATATTCATTCCTATTTCTGTAATGCTGGATTTGATTTCACTATTAGTTACACACTAATTTTCCATATGAACAGGAAAGTGACAGCCAAGTAATGCTTTGGCTTGTGCATCATTCCAGTCCCACATCATCCCCAGTGATATCATAATACACAACATTAGGAATTCGGAATAATATTAAAAAATTAAGCATATGCCATCATCTTGAAGAAGTTCTGCTAGTTTTGCTTCTCCCAATATTATGCTATCAACTTGAACAAGTTCTGCTCATTTTGCTTCAAGGAGAGAACTCATGACTGGATTATGATTAGTATCCATAACACTGAAAAGATAATTTAGCGGTAGTAGAATCTACCACTTCATAATCAACTGAAACAGTATCATCATCATCATCAAAGCCTTTTCCCAATTAATTAGGGTCGGCTACATGAATCCTGGTCTGCCATTCTGCTCTACTGAGGGTATGGCCCTCAGTGAGGCCATAAGTCCGCATATCTTTCCTCAGTACTCTCAACCATGTCTTTTTGGGCCTTCTACTTGAACTAACTCGTACCTCCTAACAGGTGTTGTACTGGGTCTGTGCCACAGTGGTCAACCCACCTAAGTCTACTTTCTCTCATCTTATCGCCTATTGGTGCGACACACACCTAAATTCTCCTGAAGGTATTCATTTCGAATTCTATCCCTTCTTGTCTTGCCACTCATCCACCTCAACATCCTCATCTCAACTCCACTCATTCTATAGGTATGTTGTTTTTTGACCGCCCAACTTTACGCCCCATAAATTAAAGTTGGTCTCACAACAGCCCTATAGAACTTGCCCTTTAACTTTATTGGTATACGGCGATCACATAAAACTCTAGGTGCACATCTCCGCTTCACCCACTCAACTCTAATTCTATATGCGACATCTTCCTTAATCTCTCCATTTTTCTGGATTATCGACCCAAGATATCGAAAGTGTGTTTTGTGTTATGACAGTAAGCTTACAAAATTCCTAGTACACATAGAGGGAAACGAAATTCTTACTGCCATTGGATCAGTTTAAATTTTGGACCAGCAATTATGATAGGGCACCTTAGCTTAAGTTGGAAAATCCATAGCTGATGAGGGCCAAGGGGACTTGCCAATTGATGTTGATATCACATTAAACAACTAAACCCTATTCTGAGTCTATAGATCTTTAAACAGGTCTCGTTTTACCACTTTTCCCTCTAAATTATTATATGAGATTAGTTTATATAAGACAGAAACAATGTTTAGAAGAAAAGGATAGTATGACAAACGATAAAGTTCCTTAATTACTTTTACGAATCATTTCTCACTCGAGTAAATATAGTAAACAAAACAAGTACTGGCATTACTTTTAGTGCAATGTATTTTCTCACTCAAGTAAATATAATAAAGAAAACAAGTACTGGAATTACTTTTAGTGCAATGTATCAACCCACATTATTATAGAATCACATATATCTTTAGCATTAAGCACGAGCATCCCTCCCTCCCTCGCTCTCTCCCTCCAAGAGCTTGAACTATATGCGAGAAAGATTGAGTAACATGAATACCCAAATATGAAGAATGAATAAATGCACATAAAGGCAGTGTGGATCCTAATAGAGGCAGAATGAGTCATAACATGTGAAGTTAGGGAATATCGAGGTGGATAGGGACATGTAAGAAACCACATTGGCAAGGAAACTCTGAACTCCTATTCCTAGTAATGAGTATCTTTGCGTACAATACCATTAGTTGTTTCAATTGTTGTGAGGTATTTTTCAAAGTCTCACCTAAAATGACAATGGTTTAATAGCAATTAAGCAAAAAAGGCATGTTGAACCATTAGGAGAAGAGCTCCATGGAACCATCACCATGTCCTTAATAAAAGAACTTTAGAATTTGTTTGAAGTTTGAATCATATAAACAAAACTCCCATCTTTTGTTCTATAGAAAAAGCTACCAGCTTTTGATGTAATTGTTTCTCCTATGCATTTTCAAGCTTGATGACCTTTTTTTTTTGGGTGAATACTCGATGAGCATGTTCAAAACAAGAAAATTGACACGAGGACAAGCTAAGTATACTAGCTACAAGTTACAGCTGTATGTTTAAATTCACTCTCTTTTTTCTTTTTCTTTTTTTCCTTAGCATTTCTTTTTGGGGCGGCAGGGAAGGGGGTTCAATTGCTTTTGTCTCGCAAATTCAGATCACTCACAATGAACTTCAATTCACTGATGCAGAATTTATTACAATTTAAGGTTCCATAGGCCTTCCCCATTGTTTAAGAATTTATCATATAAATCCTTGCAAATAATGTTCAATTTCTCAGCACAAATTATGTCTTATTTCTGTAAAATATTCCCGAGGCAAAAAAAAATCAGATTACATCGCAATTCAATCAAGATATCCCCAGACAAAAAGAAAATAAAAAAAAGTACAAGATATCCCTAGCTAATTTTTATGAGTAATTCAAAAAATAAGAAAGACAATAGCATAAAAAAAAAGAAGAAGAAAAATAAAATTGCTGTTGGGATTAGGTAAAAATAACCTTCTGAATTATACGACGCTTGTTGTGGCCAGCAGCTAGTTCATCGAAGCTGACAATACGCTTGATATTGAGCTGCATCTCCCTCACCATCTTGAACTGGACATCGGCCTGGAGGAGAGCCCTGGAGATCTCGTTCAGGCAATCACTAAGCACCTTCTCGTCAATAATCGTCGCATTGCTCATCTGTTGAAGAGCACGCGCGATGCTCCCCCCTAACTGTGCTAACACCATCTTTGTATCTTTTTTTAAATCCTAAACCCGTTTTCTTCTTCCTGTGATCTCTCTCTGCAATGGAGGGAAAAAAAAAAAAGCCTGTTCGCTCTTTGTAACTCAAAGAAAGGCTGATTTTGCCTGTTCGCTCTTTGTAAGTCGAAGAAAGGGTGCAGAAAACCCTCGCCCTCTTGCTTTGCTCATGGGACCCTGCGCATGTATTCTCTTTCCCTCGATTTTGCTTTGCTCTTGGGAATGCTACTTGACGACCCTGCGTGTGTATTATATGGGATTATAATAAGGAAAAAGTTTATATAAGGTTAGAACCTTATACTGTTGAAGTAAAGTGCATCCCAAAAATTCTATAATGGAGAGTATTCCACCATTGGATAACCCTCCAACAGATCATCTCGACTTTTAGATGAATGAATATAAATAAAACAAAAAATTTTAAAGTCTAAAAAATAGTACGTCTTGGAACAAGTTATTTATAAAGTCTACTTTTAAATATTTATTAATATGCTCTATATTATTTTTAAAATTTTAAATTTTATAATTGAGAGTAGAAAGAGATTTTAAAACATCATAAGGTTTTTAACGACAAAACGATCTCTCTAAATAAATTTTATAGGTCTGCCTTATACAAACCTCACTCTTTATAATAAGGGTCACAATTACCTACAACCATATGATGTGAAATCTACTGTTTGGGATTGTTACGAAGTTTGAAAAAATAATTTTTAATATTCAAGCTTGATCAATAGGAAAAAATACAGCCATCTAAGATTAAATGGTCACATTTTATACTTTTCTGTCCTATTTTATGTGCATTTATTCATTGTTCCTATTTGGGTGTTCATGTTACACAATCTTTCTCGCATTTAGTTCAAGCTCTTGGAGGGAAAGAGTTAGGGAGGGATGCTTGTGCTTAATGCTAAAGATAAATGTGATTCCATAATAATGTGGGTTCATACATTGCACTAAAAGTAAATAAACAATATACTCAGACCAGAGCATGATTTTCAAAGTAATCTTTCTCCTACTTTTACCAAAACTAGCTAAGAAAACGTTAATTGCAATGAGAATCTTAAGTTCACCAAGAAACAACAAGAAATATAAAAGAAAGGCTGCATTCCATGATTGAATTAAAGATGAAAAGAAAATCCATACTCCAAATTATGTAAAGAAAAGAAAAAAATGACTGAAGTAGAAAACAAGATGAATAAAAAAAAAAAAGAGTGATATTCATTAATCATAAATACAAAACAAACAAAAGTAAAACAGCATGGGTTTTAAAAATTGAATTGATCTTTAAAATTTTAGAGAATGGTATGATTCTAAAACAAGAAGTATAATGTAAGTCCGTAACTATAAAAAATAAAACAATTTTTTTTAAAAAAAAAGGGGTCCAATGAAAAGAAACTTAACAAACAAAACAAAACTGAAACTGAAATTATGAGAAACTTATCAGCCTTTTAACTCTTGAATTTTATAGTATTAATAATAAAAAATAAAATCAAAATACTCATAACACATGAATTATTTAATATTTTGCCCATTTGGAACAATTCCAAGTCATGATTATTTGTCTTTTGATGGGCGCATAGTGGGCCCATACAAAGTATCAGGCAATAGAAGATTCGTTCGTCCTGATAAAGTCAACTTAAAAGTATCGACACCAAGTACATCGTAGTAGGTGTCATTCCCCATATAAAACCGCCGGTTACCAACCACGATCTCCTTCAACTCCGTGAATCCGTCATTAGTCCTCGAGACATGACGAGTGGAAGTTTATTAGACCCACCAATTCCTCAGGTCATGGTCGGAAACTATTGAATCTAGGACTATGCAAATCAAGTCCTTTTTTTTATTTTTTACTATTATTACTTCGAGCATTGTTGTTATTCTAGTTCTTATTTTTGTTTTTAAGCTTGGGACAATTAAACTTGATATGCACAACTTTCTTACAATAAAAAAAACAAGTCTTTTTAGCCTAATTCTTTCGATTTTTAAAATTTGTTCTCTTTTTCTTATACCTATTATTGTTCTGATTATGGTAAAGTTTATTGGGAATCTGAGAAGACGAACTTTGGGGAAAGTGAAACTCATTTGATTTCTCCATCATTCTTCTCTCAGCTTCAATACCGAGGTGCATGTGAAGATTCAACATAGTTATCCCATATGTCGAGTGGTTCAACGCAATTATAACAATCTCCTAATATGGAAGGAGACTGTTAAGAATACTAGACACTTGCATGCGGTCAAGGACAAGATTCTTAGCTGCAGCAAAGTCTTTTGCCAGCACTGTCATTTTATTGACATGTTTGGTCACTGAGTATGATTCTTTCATTCTGCAAGAATTATATTTTTCTAATAACAATTGCACATGGGTCTCAAAAGTAGTCTCATACTTTTCAGATAGGGCACCCATCATACTTTGAGCTGTGGTGTGATCCCCAAATACTCTAATTAAACTCAACATAATAGTCCTAGCTACTTTGTCATCTTCTAACCATTTTTCAAGTCGGCTACTGTCTTGTCCATTGGCATTAGGCTCTAACATTGGTGGTTCTGTATCTAGAACATAGTCCACCCTATCTTGGATTAGAATATATCCAATTTTTCTTTTCCACATAAAAAAATTGGGTTCCATTGAGTTTTTCAAGTTTGGATAGTTCTGACATGACTAGCCTAGATGCCATTTTAAATTTTAGATAATGCCGAAAGATTCAAAAAATTCAATTGTGTTTAAAAATAGGGTTATCAGCTAATCAAATCAATAGGTTGTCGACTCTCAGTGGGCTGCAACCTCAAAGGATGTTTGCACTGCTATGATGCAGTAAACTAAAAAGTAAAGGGGTGTCTCAAATCTCACTAAATATTGTAGTTCTGACCCTAAAAAATCTTCAAATTGATCATCTTAACCTTGAGTATTATGGATCTGAAAAAATGAGTATCTCAAACCCTAAAATATTGCATATTGTGACACTAGAACATTTATTTTCAAGTGTTCACATTATCTACGAAACGCAAACTATATTTTGAGATACAAATCTCATTATTAGTAATAGAAATATAGTTGACCCAGTGATTGAAAAATCGATGAATCGCATCGGATTCGCCTGAGTTGATATGGGAATCGGTCCCTTGTGTCGATTCTACTAAAACACGCTCAAACGGTCGATTCTACATAACAAATCGCCGTATGATGTCATGAATCTCCCGGTTCTTCGCTTCATGATGCCATGTGCATGCTGATTCTTCTACTGTGTATGGAGATTCTTCTACAGTATATTATGTGGGCATTTTTGTAAATTTCAAAGTAAAATAGGTCAAGGTACTAAATATCTGATGCTCAGACACCTCCCACGTGTCCCTAGTCGTTTCGCACGCATTACCAACATTGAGTACAAAGAAGCATTTATCCGCTTGGTTCTTCTTCCACCTTTTCGATGTATGATATTGTAAAAAGGTGATAGCTTGAAATGTTTATATATTATAGAATTTTAATTGCACTATTGAAATCACCATGTTGCATGTGGTATACC